GGTTCACGAAACAATAAAACGTTTTCTAAAGGGTATGACGTCACCAAAACAGACATTTGACGAAAGCGATCGTTCAGCTTCAGCTTCAGTCGGCCAGGAAGAGCTCTGCATTGCTCTTAGAAAATGAAGGAATAGGAAACGGTTTTTAGAGCAATTTCAATGACCGGTAATTTGTCTAGTAGTTGATTGATATTCCTTTCCAGGCACTCTAATGAATCATAGTTGTATCGGATAAGCGCGCTAAAAATTAAGAAATAGATTCAACACAAGCCGTAAAATAATTTCGGGTGCTGGCAGCAGCGTGGTCAAAATATGGACCATAATAAAAAAGGATAAAGCTCTCGGCGTTGATCAATCCTTAAGGGATGCGCTATGCATTCAAACTTCATCAAGAATCATTATAGGAGATTGAATACATATATGTCCCATACAATAACTCGTGATGGCTACCGATGTATCGTGTCAATGCTGCTTCCTTCCAGACAAGAGGGCTGGAGGGCTTGTTGAACGCGGAGCGAAAGGTGACACCAACGACACCGTGTGTATTGCATGGGCACCTCTAACTACTCTGTTACATGCGCGCTTTGTAATAAATAGCAAATATTAGTAAACAAATCATGCTTTTCCTTAAAACGAGAAAGGAAAATCTGTTATACTACTCCACCATGTTGTCAACGGCTCGTGTCCTCTAGCTACTGCAAAATTATTTTCTGTTGTAGGTGGTTCAGCATTTCCGTAACGGCATGAAATTGATCGTGGTCCCATGCACATGGCATCGAAAATAAGGCGTTATAACCAATGGGCTAGGTCTAGATGAGGAAACAACAACGGAAGTCAACTTTTAAAAGACCGGGTAAGTTAAGTGGTGATGTATCATCGCCTATTTACGTTGTCTGTAATGTATCAAAAGCCTCTGTTCATATGTGAGAATTTTTAAATTTGCCTACCGTTGAACTCAGTCTGATACCCGAGCTCGGTGGTAGTTGTAAGCTGAACGATCGCTTTCGTCAAATGTCTGTTTTGGTGACGTCATACCCTTTAGAAAACGTTTTATTGTTTCGTGAACCGACATTAATTTAAATTCACTATGACAAATTAATGTATTGTTTTATTGGTAAGCTAATAGAAGGTTGCTATGGAGCTTTTATTCGGCTAATTGTCTCGGCTCTTTCGCCTTCAGAGCCGGTGTAATTCGAGTGGAATAAAAGTTACGCAGAAACCTCTTGCTAGTTGATCAATGAGAAGTACATCTTATGGTATATTCGCACTTTCATGAAGTGGTTGAATTCTTTTTATCCAGGCTCTGATACAAATATTTGCCTCGTGTCGAATAATTAAAACCTACTTAAATACTCTGTAATGCTAAAGACTAGATATGTACCGAATCTTGATTGAGCTACCTTCTTCTTATTTCTTTCTCATGAAAAGACGTGATTTCGCAATTACCTTTGAAACTACGCATTCGAGAATTTTAGAACTCTCGAGTCTGAATGGTATACTAGTTATTAAGGGTTAATAAGATATTGGACAATAATGTTAAGAAAGCGTTGCTGAAGAAAAGTGTATTGTTTAATAACTGGTTAGTACAAAATACGTTAGAGAAACCCAACCCTAAAGATCCATGGGCTGTCAATATCATGTCCGGCACGTTTGCAGACTGAACTGGATTGCAGGCTTCCAGTTCTCTTCGGTACTTCTCACGTAATTCCATTTGTGCCACCTTATGACCGGCTGCTAATCTGAAAAAAAAAGCAGAAATCTGTAAGTGTACGAACACTTCGACTTCTCTGATGGCGTCCTTAATTGCAATAAATGAAACATGAATAAACTTCATACTTCGTACTTGAACGACCCGTCCTCACTGGTTGTGCGGTTCCAACATAATCACCACTTTTCGGAGACTTGCTGGTTAAGCCATTGTGGTCCCCTGGAGTTTCGAGGTCAGCATGGCCAAAGTCTGCCTCAGATCTTCACCACCACCGACAATCGCAGCTCTTGTGGATCAGAGTGGGATTTACCATCATGCGACTTTGAAATCAGGACGGTGGTAGATCCTGGTTTTAGTTTATCCTTAGCTAGGCTTCCTGATGGAAACGCCGGACTCCTTCTCAGCTGGGAAGGCCCTACCAGGGATGAATCCCCCGCTGTACATCGTAGTCCTACACCCAGGAACACCTTCCAGCCACGTCGAGGCAGTAAATCGTTGGGAGATACATGAATTAAACTTCTTAAAAAGCTTAGAAATTTAGCTATACGAATCTTTCTTCAAGTTGTACGAGTCGTGAAGTAAAAAGCTCGGCAATAAATGTCTACTGAGGAGAAAAACCTGTCGTGAAAAGCTCAACTGCTTGCAAAGTTTATGCAGTGCCTGGGAACACTGGTTCCTACTAGTAATTAAGGAAAATTTTTGAAAAAATGGAATTCCTGGAACAACTGGAAAGTGGTGAAATGAATTTTATTAAAGAAAGAGTTTACGTGTCAAATTTAATAATGAAGCAGGGAAATGGCGATAAAGTCCTTCTGCATTGGTAAAAAAACGGTGCTCTTAAAAATGGAAATTAGTTTTAGAATTTGTACACAAAACCGAATATGAAATTTCTTTTTATCAAGTAGAGTTCCTACCGAATCTGCTGGAAAGATTTGGCTCATCAGTAGTCTCAAATCCCTTCAAAAGCTACTCTTAGCACTTAACTCCGGACACCAGATGTCTGCGTTGGGAAACGAACGCGCTATTACAATTTCCGGGGCTAATGCGTTCACCACCACATTATGCAGTTCCATCTCTTTCAGCTAGTTCTATCGATCACTATTGTCAACAAACACTCTTCCACGGAATTGATCTGCGCACCCCAAATCGGCAATGAGCCCAGTTAAAACTAAGGCTGTACTTTTGGCGAAATAGTACATAGTCACCCCCTTCTCTTAGAAATTATGGTAAGCAGCAAATAAGAAAATGTTAGTATTGTGATTTTAACTATAGGCTCAACTTAACTGGTAGGATACCCAAATCAATCCCATTGACGAGTAGTTGCTGATGGCACTGACCGATATACGAAGCTGAGAAACAGGTGAAACGAAGGACCCGTATGCTAGTGAACACGTTACGTTGCAGAAAAGGTGACAGCGCGTTCGTTCCCCGCCGCAGACATCTGCTGTCAGAAGTTTTGGAAATATCTTCAGCATCATTGTGGTAGTATTTCGCGTCGTACCCTACCGTGAAAAATTGTAAAAGCTAGAGAATAAAGCTCTCGGCGTTGATCAATTCTCGAGGGATGCGCCAGCCATGCATTTGACTTCATTAATCATCGTTTGTAGATGTTTGAATGTATGTCTGGCTTTTACAATGACTCGCAATGGCTCATAGATGTATCGAACCAGGGATGCTGTCGTCCCAGACAAGTCCAGTACCAATTTCCCGACCCCGGAGAGATGAGAGGCATGGTGACACCAGGGCGAGATCAGACCAGAGCCGAGCTCGTGACGACCGAAATTTACTACCAGTGTGCTATCCGCCCTCTACTAGAAGAATAGTAATATATAATATAAAAAAAATAATCACAATCTTAACCCTTTTATTTACTGCCTTTTTCTTTTTAATGGCAGGGTAAGAAGCTGATAGGAACTAGCTGAGAGACAGGCAAAACGAAGGACCCGGACGGTGTGGTGGTGAAGTGCGCTGCTCCCCGGTAAGGATAACAGCGCGGGTTTGTTACCCACCGCATACACCTGCGGTCCGGAGTTTTGCAAATATCTCAGCGTTATATACGAGTTATAAAGAGAGTAGTTAGAACGAACGGTGACTGTAACTGTGATGGCCGAGGACTTCTGATGCTGTAATGTTTACGGGCTTAGATTATAAAATTGGTAAAATTTATGAGGATCCTCCAAGATGCGTGAAATTGGTGGTGAGCAAAATAAAATCTTTAAACTACTTTATGTGCAATGTATTGTTCGTTTTATCAGAAAGACCTGTTAATAGATTGCGCGGAATTCGGCACAGTGCCAATTTCATTGAATTTTCAAGAAACGAACCCAGGCCCAGCGTTGTAACCTTATTCCTACGTCACCACCAAAGCCAATTCTTATGGATGAACCGAAGGTTTACTACTTTGTGAATGGGATTATTTCAAAATGTGGCGAGTGCTAGCACAAATTCGCCCGAAAATGAGATTTTTGATATGAGAAAGGTGGTGTTTGTAAATTATGCAGTGAGGTAAAATATTTAAGGGCTCAACCAGTTAACATGTGTTGACAACATGCTTTGTTGATGGTATGCATTTCATACCATGAAGCTATTACCGTGAACAGTCAATGTTTACTGAATTCAAAACGCTTCTAGAAAGGTGGCTCTCGGAAAAAATCTCAAGAAAACATTCAAGAGAACAAATGGCCCAGCTACTTGAAACTATCGAAAGGTGGGCGCCATGAAAGCTTACGCTTCTGAGCCAGACAGAATGGTTGGATAAGCCTACAGAAGCATCGAGAATACAGTAAACAGAACAAGAAATATTCGCTTATTTGCCCTTATATTCGACTCTATTATCATTCCTGTCTTAACTTATACATTAGAACCGCAGAATCTACTCAGAGACAATACAAACTCACTCAGCTCATTCGGAAACTCTACCTGGAGGATGATTCTAGTAGTACCAAAAACCACCATCCTGGTGCGACCACACCTCGAGCTCTCCAAGTTTCCTCTTCCTCCGCGGTTGGAAAGTTGGTACCAGAATTGTCTGAAAAATTTCACTTTTTGCAATCCAAATGGGAACGTTCTAGCCTAGAGATATCAGAACTCCAAGAGAATCGACATGACCAGAATTCAACAACAGTTATGATGAAAGGTAAATCATCGAGTAAATAGTAGCCGAAGAGTCCGCTAAAAAGCAGGAAGGTCTTCGTAGGTGATGAATGGGAGAAAACGAATCGAATGCGAAAAGAGCTGAGATCCTCACAGAAGGCAAACAGGCGGGTCGTGTAAAAAAATGCAAGTTGAGGATTGAAAATGCGAAAGGAAAACAGAAAGGCAAATTCGGTGATCAGACGTCTTCAAGAAAAGCCCAGAAGAAAAATACGGTGCCTTTGGTGTTTATTTTCCCTGGGCAATCCGCTACAGTTTTCCTAGAATTCTAGCAGACCTTTGAAGCCAGTAAGATTTAAATGCCTAATCTTAATAATTATTATAGTTTCTTGGCACCGTGTTGACAAGCTCATGGATTTCATCAAGCATCCATGGTATACTGCTTGGTATGCATCGACTTTTCAGCGTAGTGTATCCCATCTACGAACTGAGTTGCTTTACGGAAAGAAGCAAAACGGTTGGCCACCAGTTTTTCGATTTTCTCAATACGTTCGCGAAAGTATCATCCTATGCAATCATATGCTACGCTAGTAGTGGGCGGCAAAGGCAAGGTCATTCTCTTTCCGGCGGTTTATTTTAACACACACAACCTTTTTCCTATATATCTTGTTATCACTCGAAAGCTTATTCAGCGCAGATATTTGTGAGCGCCGTCCCTGAAAGCTAGGCTCCATATTTATAAATGTTCAAAAAGAACCTGGTTCATGGGCTAGTAATTTGACAAGAAGTTGATTGCTGTTTCAATTCTAATCGGTCTAATGGACATAATCGTCATGTGGAATGTGCGCGTATAAAAAACGATAAGGTGTGCTGTATACAAGCTGGAAACCACTTTCAGTTGCCGGTAGCAGTGTATTTGTATGAGGGATCATAGTAATATAAGTGAACAGTAGCATACGTCCACAAAGATGCTGAGGTATGGGCAAAACTCGAAGCCTCAAAAGGGCTTTGAACCCTAGGTTGAACTTAAGGGGTTCTCACATGCTGTCAACTGTACTAACCGAAACCACTGCATTGCCTTCAACTCAGCTTTCCTTTTACTTTGTTTTAGAACATTGTAATTTCGAACGCAACTTTTGCTTGGCTAGAGGTTCAATGCCGATTTGTGCTCATCATATCTTTCCCGTTGACTGGTACTTGCTGATAGCACCCAAAGAGTCGAAAATTTGCTAAGAAAAAGGCAGAGCGAGGAACATCGGTGGTGGGGGTGGGTAACACGTATACCCTGGGAAAGGGTAATCGTCGGTTCGAAACGGAACTGAGGTTTCTAGTTTTGCTCATATCTCAGCATCCTTTTGGTTGAGTTTCAATTTTTAGCATGATATGAAGAAGGAATAAGCAGTAAATAAGAAGAAGACAGTGAACACATAAAACTTAAGCCTATAAAACGATAGGGTAAAGTGTGTTTAATAGTATTGCCGCTTTACCGACCCATCTCTGTAATCTCTGTAGTTATCGGAAACCCATCGCATCCGTAACGACTGAGAATTAGGAGCCGTTCCTAGTCGCAACATCGTTGAAAGCCGCGCATTTCGTGAAAAAGTTGTTGGGCTTCGTTCTTAAACAGGCAAATATTGTAACAACAGTCTTCTCACTTTCTTTTGGCAAATATTTTCAGATCATTTTTGCTCTTGCGCATTCCACGATGCCAATCTTCATCGTTTTAAAATGGACAAATCCGTCTCGGTACATATATCATCGCGAAAAATTTTCGTGGAGCTATGACAAATCGCTACCGTTGGGCTATTTTTCCTTTTCCGCTTTCACTGGTTAGAAGAAGCAATTTCGTATTTCTCAACACTTAATGGAAACAATCTTTTGGCAACATTCACTCATCGAATTGTGAACCGCCGTTCTGGGTGTTAGTGAGCCAAACTAGAACTCTTTGCGAAATGCGCTGCACACGAAGAGTTCAGCTAATTTTGTTCGTATTACTGAATTTCTTTTTCAAATTTCACTAATTATGTATAACTTTAGATGACTATGCAGTCGTTCCGTTAATTCTATGTTCAGTTGTGTGTTACTCGATGATTTTCTACGATTTAAAATCAAAGGTGTGAGCGGAAATATTTTCTCAGCGCTCTCCTCAATATTCCCTTCGCAGTAATTTAGTAACTATCACCCTTCTAAGGGCGCGTGTGGCGCAGTGGTCGGAGGCTCCCTGCGACACACACGTGGAATCGATCTCCGCGCCCATGGCCTACGAAGCCTTGCATCGCTTTGGGGTCTGTAAATTGGTACCAGACTTGTCTGGGAGGATAGCACCACTGGCTCGATACATCGGTAGGCCACCGCGAGTCATTGTAATGGCCAGATATGCATTCATTCACCGCCAGACGATGCTTAATGAAGTTGAATACATGGCGCATCCTTCAGGGGGTGATCAACGCCGAGAGCTTTATCATTTATTTTTTATTTTTCATCTTTTAACTCTTCTTTCTAGTTTTTCACGGCTTTTGCTGCGAAAAACTCTTCTATGTAATGTGAATTGTTTTCAGGGCAGAAGGTTAGAAAATACCCCCACTATCAATGTAATGTGGCAATTTTCTCTTTCATTTATCTTTTGCATTTAATTATTCGTTATCATTCCTTTTGAAGCTATTCCGCTCTCACTAACTTCACGGTAATTCAATTCAAGGTGTTTGTGTATTGTTTGTTCTGTACGTCAACTTTCATTCTATGGCGATTCATTCAACCTTTATTTGACCCTAATCCGATCACCTTCTTTTGGATGACCGTGCCGTGGATTTTCTATAACGGTGCAAATGCACTTGTTTGTGTTTCCTTTAACAGGTATAACTAAATACTTTTATAATGCTTCTTGTCGGAAAAACGCATGTCAAAAAAGAAAACAAAACAACAAATCACTAACCTAGACTAAATTGATGCTTGTTGCCGGGTATAAAAGTTCTCTGCGGTTTCATATACAGTTCTTAGCCATATAATATTCTTGTTTCAGATCAATACGCGGAAGTGTCCTTCAATTACTGCACTGTCAACGGCATAGTGAAAAGCCAATTTTGGTGAAAACTTGCAGAAAACTACAGGAAGAACCAACACGTTGGATCCATTCCGTAGCAGATGCTTACAAAAAATTGCCGAAATTTCCTAAATTGCCTAGTCACAGATGAAGTCCTTCTTTATGTCAAACAAATGCATTCGATATTGCTTGAAATCGATTCTTCTCATGTTACTGTTGGTGCATTGAATACTAACTATTTCATAAAGGCTTGATAAGTAGATACAGTAGTAGTTCTGACTGTGAAACTTAGAGGACGCTTGTGCTCATAAATGGTGCATGCTCTTGTACTTTCCATAATCCGTTTTCTTAGGCACGTTTAATGTCAAGACGTTAAAATATCGTTCCTAGTGTTTTCTACATGCCTCGAATGTAAGCCTATTGCTTTGTTTCCAAGTTGAAGGAAAACTGGCAGTGTGTCTCGCGAGATTTTTGAACTCATGTGTTCAGCAGCACACGAAGCTGTTAATAGGAGTCTAACGAAGCAAGTATGGCATCATTTCTTTTCAGTTCACTCAGCCACCACCCTAAAAGGACCTCTAATTACTAATGTTGCTTCATCTGTGTACCTTTTTCCATGTTAATCATATCGTGCTCTGCGTCCTAGTTTGCGCTATAATTCTTAAAGACGAGGGAAGGTATTACAAGGGACATTTGTCGAACATGATCGCAACAGTCCACTTTGAAAACTTTCGGAAAAACGTCTCTTGGATGATGCATTATAATTCACTTCTATCAAATAGGTTTCTGAGATAATTATTGAAGCAGTTTCCAACCTTTTCCCTCAAAGTACAAAGGATGTTGTAAATCAATAGAATCATCAAATCTGATTTTCTATACTTATAAATCTATGTGGAGTCGTTTCATCGAAGGGATTAACCTTCGCAACTCAACTTCGTGGCCTATTTTTTCTCATACAATACTTACCATGAGAAAGAAATAGAGGGCAAATAGAAATTTAAATATTTTTCAATTTTAACTTTTTATTTGCTGTCTCTTACAAATTTTTATGAGGGCATGTTATGCGAAATACAACCATAATGGAGCTGAGACGTTTACAATACTCCGGACCACAGGTGTATAAGTTGGAGAACGAACGCGCTATTGTCCTTTCCGGGGTCCAACGTGCTCACCACTACACCATGACGGTCTTTCGTTTCTTTTCTCTCTCAACTAGTTTTCTATATCGATCAGTGGAAAGGGTAGTAGCGTGTTCGTTTCCCACCACGGACACCTGCGATGCGGAATTTTGCAAGTATCTCGGCAACACTACAATTGTATTTCAGCATAATTGTGGCTGTATTTCGCAAGACATTTTTTAATTTGTAATTCACAACTCCAACGTGGGGCGCTTCAGTCCGATGTCTTCTCGGTGTGACATATCTAGTTCAAGCTCTTTCAAAGCCCCTGAAGCAACAGCTTGTAACAAGTCGCAACTCTTCACCAATTGACCAGGGATCTAAGAATTCGAAGCCAATCAATTAAAAATGATGAGCTCTTCAAATTTCGCTAACACTGCCTGAAATTCTATTCATAAAAAGTTTAATCTACCTTTGCAAGCGATAACGATCGGTTGACACAAGTAGGGCAGTTGTTATTGAAACACCAATGTTAAAAACTTAACAGCTGATTCTGTAGTGGAAACAACTTATTTGATTTATTCTTTTCAGTGGGATAAAGTTTCTCAATTCTCTATTTCTATGGAAACCTACGAATTGATTATAATGCACTTTTTTACCTTCAATAAATTTATTATGTCAAAGTTTAACTGGTCAAGTTTGAGCACTAGCTTCTCTATTAGGGCACCTTTCCAGTTCTTTGCTGTTATAAAGAAAAACTGCAGAAATGTGTTTGGTTATTCCCAAGACCGACTTTCTGTGAACCGCCTCACTGATTGCTGTTTATCATTGTTGGTAGCATAGAATTTGTTAGGATACAATAGCTGTCACTTCGGCGGTTTCGCCTTCTTCAGTGCCTGGAAAGGCCAAATTGACATACGGTTTACTCAGCCAAACACTTTCGTATCTTGCCTTCGAAATCTAAGAGAACATGCATCGATAGCGAAGCATGACTGGACCGGCCACATAGTGAGAAAAACAGACGACAGATGGACGAGAAGACCTGTTGAAACGTGTTCAAATAAATGCATTTGCACCGTTATAGAAAATCCATGGCAACTCATTCAAGAGAAGGTAATCGGATTCGGATCAAGCAAACGCCCAATGAATCGCCATGGAATAAAAGTTGACGTACAGAACACGCAGTACACAAGTGCCTTGAATTACCGCAAAGTTAGTGATAGCAGGACGGCCCCAAATAAGTGTGCACTGAGATTGAAGCATATAAGATGTGAAAAAATACCACATGCATTGACAGTGAATACATTTTCTAACTCTTTGCTCTGGAAAATACTAGTTTTAGAGGAAAATTTTTTTTTGTAAAAAAGTTAGAAAAAAGTAGAGCTATAAAATGACAGTTACTAAACAGTAAACTGCTTCAAAAAACTGGGGAGAATATTGAAAAGAAAATTTCCTGTCCACACCTTTGATTTCAAATCGTAGAAAATCATGGAGTAGCAGTCAAATGAACACAGAATAAACAGAACAAGTGAATAAGTATCTGAAATTTTACTCAGTTGGTGAAAAATAGAGGGAAACTGGTAAGAAGACTAAATTTCGGCAAACTCTTTGTGCCCAACAGCAATTTGCTGAGAGTTTACGTTTAACCCACTAACACTCAAAAGTTTTGCAAAGAAATTGCCTTTGGGGAGCGCAACGTTGAGATTTATGTAAAAATAGAATTTCTTTATATCCCAATGACAGTGGAAAGATTGTCCAACGGTCGTGATTTGTCATAGTGCCAGGTAAACTCTTCACGATAATTTAAATCTATAATTTGAATCGATACTTATTTGCCCATTTCAACACGATGAAGACTAGTATTGTGGAATGAGCAAGTGCAAAAATGATCTGAAAGTATTGGCAAGAAATGAACAAGACGGTAGGAAGATTGTCGTTGCTATACTTCCTCGTTTATAAGCGAAGTCCGACAACTCTCGTTATTGACACACTAATTTGGCGCTATTTATTCCCGTACATTCTACCTGATCATTACTCTTCATTAGAGCGATTGGAATCAGAGCAGCGGTCAATTCCTTGTCAAATAACTAATCAGTGAACTAGTTCAAGAAGAGGTTTTTTATATTTTTGCATTCAGAACAGAACTTTTACGACCAATGTCCACAGGAAAGTCTGTGTTGAATAAACTATAGAACCACTGAGAAAAGGGTTCTGTGCGCAAACATAAACCATCGGAAATAGAATGACACATACATGCTTCCTAGTGCCCACGATTCGTGCTTCGTGTGACTGTATAAAATGTACACTGTCGCGAATATGTTTAAAGAAACGAATGATTGGTGACCAACTGTTTTGCTTCTTCCCGTGAAGAAAGATGGTTTGTACACAGGAAACACCACACTGAAGAGTCGATGTC